ATAATGGATTTAAAAAGAGGAAGAAGAAAAGTGCACAACTGCAGCTGGAGGAGAGGAGTGAGAATATGTGAGGGCGGGAGGAGGTACAGAAAACGGGGAGCAAAGTTAAGCCTGCAAAGAGGGGGGTATGGGAGGAAGGTGTTTTAAGATTTAGTTTTCCTTATTATCCTACTCTGACTTGATTGGTAATAAATTAAGCTAATTTTTCCAAGTCAATTCTGTTTTGCCTGTGACAGTAATTGCTGCGTGATCTGTCCCTGCCTTATCTCGATCCATGAGCCCTTGGTTATATTTTCTCTCCCCCCGTGCAGCTGAGGAGGGCAGTGGCAGAGCAGCTTTGGTGGGCACCCAGTGTCCAGCCTGGGTGCACCCACACATGTGCCCAGATGCAGCTGTTCTTGCCCAGTCCCTGGGGGAGCTGCTGCTGCGAGCGTTAATAGCAATACTAAGGAAAGGAACGTGTGAGTGACTAACTATTTTTGGAGAAGTTGACCAAAGTATGGTAATTAGTTACTTAATGTGGCTCTTTACCCTCCCTTCACCTTTGCTATGCAAATAGCAAGGGGGACATTGTAGCCCCGGTGAATCGAAATGTCGAGGGCCTGTGTGCTCTCACCTGTGTGTGCCCGGTGACATTTGAAGGACGGGAACAGGAGGGGATTGACATTTTGCAGAGAAAAGGCAAAAAGCACCAAAAAACGTGTAGCATTTTGAGTGGTGCTAACTGGGACATGAAAGCACTGCAGCAGCTTTGAGTGCAGCAGGACATCCTCTTCATCCCCATCCCTTCCCACCTGGACAAGAGGCAAGGAAGGAAGTACTAGAGGAAGCTGGGGAGGACTTGGGAGGCAAATCGTGACTAGGCTGAGACAGAAGGACAGGGAAGATGCAAAGGAGAAGCTGATGAGTGGACTGAGAGGCTGCTGGCTTTGCACAGTTGTGAGGGGAGTGGGGTGGGCATGAGGAGTAACGAGGAGAGCTCCTGGGAGCTGCTGTTTGCTGCTTGGGCAGTGCCTCACAGGGAACAGGGCAAGGGATTATGGAGCTTGTTCTCTTTTTGTGGGAAAAGGGGTGGAGCAAGGATGTATTGTGCTGTTAATTCATGTACTTGGTATGAAGGATACCTAGTGCTATGGTCCCTTTAAAGCCTGTAGTCTCAGTTAAGCTGATATTACTGTCAAATGCTAGGTTTGGCCCATGAGGCAGCACTGAGAAACCTTCCTGACAGCTTCTGGAAGGATATGACTGTCTTCATCTGCCCCAAGGGTATCTGCTGCATGGGAAACCTTCCATTTTCCTGCTGCATTGCCTACATTTTCTTCTGGAAGAAACTGAAACAGTTTAAAATGTTTCAACAGTGTCTCAAAACTGAATTATGTGAAAGACTCTCTATTAGGTTACAGCTCATTTTGAAAAGTCTGTTTTGTTCCCCCCACAGAGATCTTGGTCCAGAACCCCAAAAAGAGAACTGGGAGGGTTCTAGAGTGTATTAAGATGTGATGCATCCAAATAACTGTTCTGTCCCTCTTCTATGTTCCTTCTACTGTTATACTTTCATCTCTCTTATCAGTAGCTTTGATGTATTTAAGCTGTGCTTTTCAGGGCTTTCTGACTTTATTATAAGTAGGACAGATGATAGTTTCTCTTGATGGGGGACAGTAATGGGAAGCTGTAAGACTCACTTTTATGCCTTTCTCAGAAAAGTTTTAAGGTAGAAAAGCTACAGTTGTAAGATGGCTGCTTATCTCCTACTGCTGTTGTCACGGAGGCAAATGCCAAACTGCAGTATTTCATGTCTGGCTTTTTTTTTTTTTTGTAAAAGATTTTTGTGGATGAGTTTTGGTTTGGTTTTTTTTTGTGTGAAGGGAGATGGTAACTATCAGTAATGGAATTTCACAAAAAGCATAAGATGCCTGTTAAATGCCACCTTCTGAGAATTAAACTTACCTACTGCCAAACAGAGATGAGATTTGGCTTTTGTTTGCTCTGCCTTGGTGCTTGCATATTTGAGGTAAGCCAGATGAAAATGGAAATAGCAAAGCTTAACATGTTAACTGCCAAGCCTATTAAGACACAAGATGTGAAATTTTCAAAAGTATCTCAAGTATGTTAGGGGCAGCAAAACTGGCCCATCTCTGCTGTTCTTGAACACAACAATGTTTGTTTTCCATCATCATCCTAGTAAAAGGCTTTATTAGGGTTAGAGACTTCTGCTGATACCCAAGATAGGACAGGCAGCACATAAATGAGTTTAATTTATCTGCTGTTAGACATGGGAAATTCCATCATGACCATGAATCTGCAGTGGTTTAGAGTACTCTGTATGGGGAGTCTACAAAGACTGGAAATGTGAAGCTATCCCAGAGGTATAAGGTGTGTGAGAGCTTTCAAATGACATCCAATTACTATCATTAGACTGCAAAATTCTTTAAGTTACCGAGTAAGTGACTTAGGTAGCCCAGGCTCTACGTTAGAAACAGTTTTAATTTAATTTCAACTCTTTTAACTTCTTATCAAAATAGAAACTATTTCCTATTAGTTTCTTGGTGTCAGTTCCTTACTCTGGCCACATTCTTCACTTTTTCTGGTTCTCTGGACAAACTTTTTTTTATGTTGTAAAGAACTTCACAGAGCCTCAAGATATTCTGAGCTCTCACAGTCCTGTGTTTTCCTCTTTGTCTAACAGATCAGTTAGTCACCAAGTAAGACTATGCAAAGCTCAAACTGGTTTAGCTCTCCATTTTACTCTTCAAGTTTAAATGCATTTATTAGTAGCTCTGATCAAGAGTAGTCCCAGGAAAAAAAAAATCTCACTTTTTGTATTCAAATTATGAATTTGAAAGTTAGTAACCTGTTTCCAGTGGCTCTTCAATAACTGAGTCAGGTGGTGAGATACAGATGAGCTTGTAAACCTTCTCTGACACACAACACAAATCCCAACCATATTTCCAATGAATCTTGTACATCTCCTCGCAAGGCCCAGTCAGTTTTATCTTCCCTTTCTCTGGTAGCACCAGTTGTACACTGGCTTTAGAGAGCACATTTTGTCCATCAGAAGTAATACTTAGAAGCTGCCAACACACGAGTAGGTATCAAGTAAAGACCAGATTGACTCACAGGATCACTGAACAAAACCAGAGTCTTGCATCTCCTCATTGAAGGCCAGTGATTTTGCACTGGGTAAAGTAAATATAAAATTAAGAAAAAAGTAATGTTTCTTAACTAGAGGTATTGAGACAACTCTAACCTGTTCCATGCAGTGAAATCAGCCTCTTAGATTTTTTTGTTTTGCATTTGGGACCTGTACTATAAAGCCTCAAATGATGGATGGCGAATATGAGCACATGTTGTGAGGCCATTTTAGGCTCAAGGTTGTAGAGGTTTTTTTGCTCCTTTTTTTTTTTTTTCGAGTTCCTCACTCCTCTGAAAAATTACCAGACTACATCTGTGAGCGTGATGCTCTTTTTTAATGTATTGCTTTTCTAGTCGTGCATCCCTAGTTTTCTATTCCACAAGCATTTTACGAAATACCGCCTGCGGAACGTAAAACGTTGAATCTGGTGGCTGTTTGATGCCCGCACGTCTTTGCCGCATGGCACAACCTCCGCGGAAGCGCTTTTTCGCTCCGCACGGTGCGCGTACCACTAATTAAAGCCTCGGAGGTGCGCATAAATCTAACGCACGCGGGTGGATGGAGCAGCCCGTGGAAGCGGGAGCGTGTCCGAGCCGCACGTCCGCGGCACCGCTCTCGCTGCGGGGGCTCTCCCGTGCCGAGCCGTGCGGGCCGGGCTGTGGGGCGCGGGGAGTGCCGCGCAGCGCCGCCGGCAGCAAAGCGGCTCCGTGCCCGGGGCGAGGCACGGCAAACTTTTAATGGGCTCCGCGCAGGGCGGGCTCAGCGTTTTCCCCAACTCCCGGGGAGGGCTCTGTCCTTCCCCGTTCCGGGCCGGCGGTGCCGGGGGTGCCCCGGAACCCCCCCGAGCCGCCCCACCACCCCCTCAATGGGCCCGGGCGCGGGCGCTCCCGGGGTGGGGCCGCTGCGCGCTGCCCGCGGCGGGCCCCGCTGACCCCGCCCTCCGGACCAGGGAGCGGAGGCGGCGGCGGGTCCCGCCGCAGCGGTCCGTGCCCCTCGGTGCCACCCACGCCTTGGGACCCGCCCGCCGGCTGCGGGGGCCGCGCCGGGGCCTGGCGGGTGCCGCGCCGCGAACTACAGCTCCCGTCGTGCCCCGCGCGGGCGCGGCGCAGGCGCGGGGGCGGCGCGGGCGGGGCGCGCGGCGATTGGCGGCGGCGCGGGCGGGCGGGGCGCGCGCCGTGACGGCAGGAAGGAGCGGGGGCAAATGGCGGAGAGATGGTCCCGGGGCCCGTCCCGAGCGCGGCGATAATCCCGGCGCGGAGGAAGCGCCGCCGGAGGAGGCGGCGCCGGGGGCCCTGACGCCCGCGACACCCCGCCGGGGTCCTGCTCTGCCGGAGCGGCGCAGGCGGCGCCCCGCCGGCCCAGCGCCTTTTCGCGGGCGGCGCCTGGGCGGCCCGAAGCCGCGGCCGGAGCCGCATCGGCCGGGCCCGCGCCCGGGACCCGCCGCCACCGCTGCTGCCGAGGTGGGTCCGGGCGGGGACGAGCGAGACCTGGGCGCTCCCCGCGGGCCGGAGCCGCGGCCCCCGCGCTGTCCCGGCCTCAGGGCCCTGCGGGGCCGCCCCGGCCCGCGGGGAAGTTGCGGGGCGGGAGCGGGGTCGGGGGCGAGGCGCGGGCCGGGGCCGTGCCGGGCCCCTTGCCCCGGGCACTTGTGTAATGGGGCCGGCGGGGCGGCGGGGCGGGGGAGCGGCCGGGCGGGAAGGGAAATGACATCAAGGAGCGGGGGGGTGACCCGGTTCCGCTCGCACCCCCCCGCCGCGGGGGGAGGGAGGGAGGGAGGAAAAAAGAAACTGTCACCGTGGGATTTCATCAGCTCCTTCTGCCTTCGTGCATTCAACCTATTTTTCGTTCCTTTGGTTATGTAAGAGGAGCGGTGTGGAGAGGAGCGATGAGGAGGGGCGGCTGATGGGCTTCCTGGGGAATTACCGGGGTTTTTTTGTGTCCAGCTGGCCCTCCGAGTTAACGCTGGGAAATGCGGGGCAACTGCGTGTCGAGTTTTTACGTGTATTTACTTTGCTTGCACTGCTCCGAATATTGCAGCACAATGCAGGCGAGGGTGGCAGGGACTGGAAACAGAGTGCAGTTGGCCAAGTTTTTTATTTCACTCTGACTGAAAAGCGAGAGAAAATTGTAAGTAAACAGTAAAAATCCTGTTCTGTTGATGCTCTCATGTAGGGAGGCACCAATGTATTTACTTATCTTTTATCTCACTCGTCTTTTTACCAGTTTATATCATATTTAATGTTAGTGTGGGTCTTGATATTTTGATTCAAAGCTTTTTATGAGACGATCTGAATTTCAAAATTTATAAATAGGAAAATGTGGCTCTACTTCCTGAAAATGAAGCCCTCTTGACTACAGGAATCTTCTCTGTAATAATGACTGTAAACCACAAGTCATAATTTAAATCTGTTGTTATTTTTGCATGGGCTGGAAATGTAGTGTTGAAAATACTTATTTGAGTATTTTTTTTTATAGTCCTTATATTTGGATATTGAAGTTTTAGGGGAGGAAAATGTGCTGATGATGAGTGAAGTGATTTTTTTTTTCTGTAAGAGTTGTATAGAAAGTGACATATTAATAAACATTTCACTTTAGTTTCTGTAGCTCTAAAACATAGCCTTCCTGGTCTAAAATATTTTGGTTGCCGTTATAAATATTTTCAAGCATCAGCAAAATAAAATTGATCATTTACATTTGTTTTGCTGTTTGTTTGCTGAAGTATGCATGAATAGAAAATAAAAAACTAGAGCTACCTAGAGGGAAGCAAAAAAAAAGAATTAAGTTTGGCAGCGACGTGTTTGGAGCAGCACAGAGCACTGTGCTGGTGACACTGGGGGGGAAAAGAGGAGAGGGGGTTAAAGAGCACTGTGTACTGGGAGCACACAGAATCCATCTGCAGAGTGGGGTTTCCCAGCAGAACTCTGGTCAGTAGATAAGCATGTTCCTTTGCCATCTCTCTGCTGAACCCCTGGGGGAGAAGAGCCTTTCCCAGTGGGATTGTTCCTGTGTTCCTGTATCTCCTCTGCATTGCAACAGCATCCACCTGGTAAACTTCTGGAGTTCAGATTTGATCCTTTCAGTTCACTTCACATTTTCTCCGTGGGTTTCCTCCCTGTGAATTGCTTGGTTTGTACAGTTAAGTGGAGGTTGGCCTGGTCTGGGGGAATATTATTAGTGAGGCAGTTCAGCTGGAGTGAAGTGATAGAGGGACACTTCTGGAACCAGTCTGGCAATTTTGGCAGAAGCTGGACTGGCACTTCAGGTTGAGAAACTGCAAGTGTTTGGGATGAAGACGGAAATATGGAAGAAAGACAGTATACCACAAATTCATTCAAATATATCACAAACAAGGAGAGTTGTATTGAACAAATAAATCATGTGATAAGTATACTAGCAATTATTTCAAAAGTTATTTTTCATATACTTTATATGAAGGTAGTTGACACTTTTAAAGTTGTATTTCTTTGATTCTGTGGCGTAAATAACTGCCTGCCTTTCCTAACAGACTTTTTTCTAGTATGGAGAAGAATTTCAGAGAGAAAGATGGACTTGATTAGATTCAGACTGACTATAAAAACTGCCATTTCCTATCCGGGTTTGGGCCAAAAAGAGAGAAATACTGGTTTACAAAACAGATACGATGGTTTTGGGTTTATGTTGTCATTTGTCTGGTAGTTGAAGTATTTGTTTTGGGAAACAAAAACCTAGTGGTCTGTCTTTCTTCTTGAGTTAAACAAAAGTAGAAATAGAACACATGCAAGGAACTCTTAAATGTGTCCCTCTTTAATCTGTTCATACTTAAATGTGAGTTGGCTACAATTGTAACAGCCAGTAAACAGTAATGGTTTATGCTGGTCCGCTTGAGGTGGCCTCTGTGTTCCTAGAAATGGATTGAGAAGTGTCTCTGTTCCTGTCCCGTGGTGGGTCAGATTTACTCAGGGGGCATTGCTGTGTACCAGTCCTGAGCAGGACTGATGCAGGTGGCATCAACCACATCGTATTACTGAGTAATATACTTGCTCATTAAGTCTGAGCATCAGAGAAGAACATGGGGTGGAGATGCTGTTGTTATTTCTGATTAATTAGTACTTAAAATATCTACAGCAGCTCAAAATATTTTGACAGTTTTTGTATTTAACTGCAAAGAGTCTTTTTTAAGCCATGCTGTGCTGTTGGACTCTAGCAGGGAGCTACGTGTTCAGATGTGGTGAAAATACTGTTTAGTTGTTTCATGATGTTTCATAATAGCAGTGCCTTCAATACTTGAAAATATAAAATTAGAGCAAAGCAGTACCAAAAATAATGTCTTCCTAGCAGCTTTCCATTGTTTTATAAATGTGCAAGCAACTGAATAGGAGTTGGACTCGATGATCCTGATGGGTCCCTTCCAGCTCAGCATATTCCATGATTCTGTGAATTTTGAGTTACTTTGGTAGAAACTTAGTGCAGAAACTTTTGATATAATGACATTCACATGTGAATGGGTGAGTCTGAGAAAGAAGCGGAAGATGTATCAGCTGCTCATGTGAAATGTGCATGCCTGGTGCTTGTAGGCCCAATAAAGAGTGGAAATAACAATCATTTGTGCTAAAAAGTTGGTGAATTGATGTTTCTTCTTTCTTTTCCAACAGAGAATATGAAACAGGAGCCAAAATGACATCCCGATTTGGAAAGACCTACAGCCGGAAAGGGGGAAACGGCAGTTCCAAGTTTGATGAAGTGTTTTCCAACAAACGGACCACCCTTAGTACAAAATGGGGAGAAACCACCTTCATGGCCAAATTAGGACAGAAGAGGCCCAGTGTCAAACCAGATATTTCCGAAGTTCCTAAAAGACCCAAAGTTGAAGATGAGGTAACAGAGGATCCATTTGGATTTGACAGTGATGAAGAATCTCTTCCTGTGTCTTCAAAGAATGTGGCACAGGCTAAAAGCTCCTCTCAGCTGGAACCCGGTGAAGCTGCTCAGTCTGAGGACTTCACTCCTCTACTTGAAGCTAACAGCAGAATTAATCAGCCAGACAGTGGAGAAAATGTTGCATCCAGCAAGTGCATACCTTTCGACAATACTGTTCCTCTCTTAAAAGAAAAGAGCACAAGCAAAAACATGGAAGATGGAGAATGCAAGGGCAGCAGTGCTAAACTTGCAGCTGCAGGTATGTTTGCTCAGCTGCCCAGATACTTCTGTTTTCCTCTGATTTTTGCTAATCTGCCTTTAGACTTTATGTTTTCAGGGGATCGTTAAATGTTCTAATAAAATCGTGGGACAATTAATTATAGAAAACCGTAGAGGATACACTAAAAACACTTGGAAGCATCCTGCATTTTACACATTGGTGTGAGATCCTTGACACTCTAATCCTTGTGTCTGCAGATTGAGATACAGTGCTTTAGATTCAGTGCAGTGTGTTAGACCACCTGGAATAAAATGGAATCATCATCTTCCTTTTCTAAAATTGCTCAGTGCATTTGTGGGTTTTAAACATGTGTTTTGAAGAGGGATGAGTTAGTGGTAATGGAAGGCTTTATTATTAAGCTTTTGGCTTTAATTTAATGCAGGTATGTGCTTACTACCAGGCAGGTGCAGATACAAATTATAACACGTCTTATTTCATTATTTGGATTAAAAAAGTAGTTTTCTGAACTTCAGTTGCACAAAGGTTTTTTGTTTGGCTTTGTTTGTAATTAACACATCTTTATCAATGTGTAGGTAAAAAGCTTCAGGCCTGTGAAACTGAATTCTGTCAGAATGTCTTTTAGGGGCTGTTTTGAGTGTTTGTAAGGTACCTTAATGCTTCTGAGAGAGAATTCACAAGGCCCGTGGAGCTGAACATCTCTGTAATTTTATTCAAGTCATTTTTGGAGGAGATCAGATGTTGTTATATCTCATGAGAGGCTTTTGTATAATGGGCTGATTAAACCACAGCTTCTATAATTGGGCAGAAGATCACATTAGCTGAACCTTGATGAAGATGACACCTACTGACTTGCTCTGGGTTATCAAAATCAGCTTTAATGAGAAGAACTTATATAACTTTAATTTCTCAGATATAGTTAACCCTGGGATCAGAAATTTGAGTGAACTTGTTTAGTTATAAGACAGTGGACAAGAAGATACTGAATAGTAGAAGATATGCATAGCTCAGTTATTTGCAGTATAATTCTGTTAGTGATCTAATTGAAGAAAACACAAGAAATGTTGATTTGAACTGTAGTTTCACAGACACATTGGTGGGATGTGTAGTTGCCTTTTGATTGTGCTCTTATTTTTGCCGATGAAGTATTTCTTATTTTCATATGGTTTTCAGCAGTTTATCTGTAAGTATGATTTATCTTCAGCCTGGAAATGGTTTTTTTTTTAAGTTTGAATATAGTTTTCATGAGTGATTGAATAAGTTCATCCTCCAGTATTTACAAGGACAAGAAATAGTAATGAGTTTCCTTGGTTGTTAATGAGCACATTGTAGCAGAACAGGTTTTACAGTGAAATAGTTTCCTTGTAGAAAAGCTTTGTTAGAACAGTATTTTTCAGGTTGGAAAAGAAAGTGAGAGAGCTGTGGGCAGAAAAAGTTAATAGAGCTCTGAAAATTCGTAGTGCTTGAGAGGCCAGGAGGAACAGACTTCAGCTGTTGCATTGGTGCTTCCTGGTTCCAGTCTTGTGAAAAATAATAAAATATGATATTTAGCACAGAAAAACTTTCTAATTTGATGCTTATTTAAATTCTAGAACTCTTTGTTAAAAGACAGTATTGTATATACTATAGATATACTGCTCTAAATGGAAGGAGGCTGATGAGTCTTGGTGGATAAGGCCATCAGTGGCTGTTGAGTGTGGTGGTGGCACTCTGGATGCAGAGAGGGAGACTCCTTAAACAACAGTTTACTGAAGGAATTCTGTTCCTGCATGCTGTTCAAAATACTTGTTAATCACTGCAGTTCAACCAGTAGCAGTGAAGGCCAAGGTGGATCTTGACCTGTTTTTTCAGAATGTATTAGATTCTGTTGACACCCAGACAAATGAAGATAAAAAGCCATTTTGTGTCTTTCTTCAGAAATTGAAATCAACTGAGAATGAATCTTTGCAGAACATCCTAGGAGGGTCTTTGGTTTCCTTACCCTTATTTAAAGGCTGTAGTCTTGGTGATAGTGTTTCTTTTTGACAGTTAGTGTAAATGGAACTTGGATGGTTTAAGCTGCTGTTATGCTTGTGTGTAAACTGATCCAAAACAAATAAAATTGTCTCTGAGGAGGTTGCTCAGAACACTGAGCAATTAGAGATAGTGGTGTAGTCAGCCAGTGTAAATGGAGGTGCTTCAAAGGCTTCTTTGTTGTAGTGACTGGTAAGTCAGGTTGGCTGGGAAGGCTGCCTTTCAGAACTGCAGAGTCAATGGGATTGATTTGGGGCAGGGTTCTGGAGGGGAAGGGAACCACGGGGAGTGTACAGGTATAGTACTTCTACTGCTGACATGTCCTCCCCCTCCCTGTAGTTATTTCCCCCTTTCTGGTGACTCTTGAACTCCACCAGGTTCAACCACATTTTTTCCAAGCTCGACTATTCCCGAGGAGGAAAGAAATGGGGGTGGGGACAGTGAGCAGGTAGAAGAATATTAATATTCCCAGTGTAAGAGACTGCAATGTGAGCTCAACCTTAACCCACATACAGCAGTGTATCTCTAGGTGTAGAAAACTAGGCTATGTTGGGACTGATATTCAAGAAAAGGCTTGTTGACTTGTTTAAAGTGCAGTTAGCTGATCCTTGTCCTAATACTGATTAGACAGAGCATGAGTGGAGGTCTCCTGACTTCCTGAGAGCATGTGCCATCATTGTATCTTAATGTACCTTAATTCTTAGCCTGGGTGGAATAAGGTTAAGAATTAGTGTTGAAAACTGTGCCTTAACATGGCCAAGCACAAAGTGAGAGGTGCAGTCAATCCTGCTCCAGTTCCACCTCCATGTGCATTCCTTTGGACGTTAAAATGAAGGTGAGGCAATGTTGGTTAATTTTAACTAATGTTTGATAGTAAAAAGCAGTTGGTTTTGGGGGTTTGTTTTAGTAGTTGTGCAGCTGTGTAACAGTTGAGGATCTGTATCTTTTATTTAAATTGGTAGAACTTACTGGTCTCTTTTTTTTTTTTTTTAAATAGCCTTCAGCTAGTGCTTGTAACAATCTTATTTTAAAGGCTTTGAGAAGCTCTTAATGTGTAAAGCTTCTCATAATCTTACCCTGATGTTGCTTAATACTGTCTGAAGAATGTCCATGAGTAATCCTGTGTGTAACAGGTAATTTAGAGATGAGCGTTCAGGTAAATTTGAAACAACAAAACACTGTTCAGTATTAATAGTTACTGTTAGGTCATCTTTGTGAAGGCTGGAGGACTTGGTATCTAGAAAATAAGTTGTGTCATTGGAAAAATACCTCACTGGTAATTAATATCAAGCAAAAATGCAGCAACTTAGAAAGTGAGGTTGTTATGGGAGACCCTTACAGTAGAGTAAGGTGAAAACATGCAGAGAATACTTACTTGGATTTTTGAAACACTCTGGTGGGATTTTGTTTATTTTTTTAACTGTTAAACTTATTCTGTAAGGCATAACCCAAACAGTATTTCATGCTGTATTCAACTGCACACAAGCTTTAATATAAACACACTTATGACCTTGCAGAGCAAATCACAAGGTCCTAGTTTTAAAAAACTTTTATAACTTTGCTCTTTTAGAATATTTATATTAGCTTGTAGGTCGAAATTAATGTAGTACAATTTTTCAGATGAAAATTTAAGTCAAAGCTCAATGAATTTAAAAAGTTGGTGTGGCATTTTATAACGACTGCACGACTATGTTTCAGATTAGATAACTACTTTGCCTACTGTGGCTCTTTCAGTTTAGGGAAATACTGGCGTTGTTGTGTGAGGGTTTGCATTTTGACTCTGGATGCTGTGATCACCTGCTCTCGTTTGCTTTCGTGCACAGTGCTGAGCTCTGTAACTCAAACTTTTGGAGGATCTAGTCCATGGGGTTGGTGCTGGTCATCAGAGAAGGCACTTGGGTCGGGAGATGTCTCTCATCTTTGCACACCTCGTATTCCTGTTGATGGACTATGAAATAATATTCCTTTCTTACATTAATTCTGAGTGAAAATATTAGGTGTTTAATTGTGCTTTTAATGAGAAGTTTTTTAATTGTGCATAGATTAAGTCTGGTTTGTTTTAAAGCCTGTGAGTTTATTTTCTGAAAATGTGTTTTGCTTGCTGTGGAGAAATAGAAAATAGAATGGCTTAAAATGTCTCTCCAGACTACAGAACAGCATAGGAATAGTGTCCCTTTCTGCTGTGTTGTGATGTTAAGTACAGATTTTGTGGTTATTGTCTTGGCAGTGCCCTTTGAGGCTTTTTAAGATTAAAAGAACAAATTATTGCATGTAATGTATTTGTGATACTTGCTTTCTTTTTTTTTTCCTCCTAACGTTTAGAGTAATAATGAAAATAGCTCTTCATCATCTTGTCATTTGTTGCTATGTACTGGTACTCAAACAGGTCTTTGTTCTGGCAGTAGTTTTGCTCTTGGTGCTTTAAGGAAGCATTTACCTGTTGACTGTATTCGATTCTTTTGTTTTTCTAGGTAGGTCTCAGTGCCCTCGTTGTTCACTTGGGGACTGTGCGGGCCTTGGAATCAAATCAAAATGGCAGATGCAATCCTTCTTCATAGCTTGTGCTTGTGTGCTGGAGCTCAACTGCTCCATGGCCCAGGATGCAGGATCCAGTTGTGCTGAGTTGCTGGAAAAGCACAGAGAGCACAGGGCACTTTGCAGAAAATGGTTGCCCTTGGCAAGGAGGGGGTTTAAGTCCTCTGGTCTGTTCCCCATAGACTATCCTGATAGTACCTCAGTGACTGTGTGTGCAAAGCCTCTGCATCCTGATTATGTGGGTGGGGAGCCCTATCTTTAGAGTTAAGTTTCAACTTCTCAAATGCAGGTTTGTTACATAATTGCATTTGACAACGAGCTTGGGCAGGATATTGCTTTCAAATTGTTTCGGAGCTTCTATTTTGTGTTTAACGGTGACATGGACATTTAAGATAATAGTTAGGTCAGAGTAATATTATCTTTCTTCCTCTGCAGAGTTGTTGAGTTCAAGTTATTTATTTCTTGAGGAAGAA